GAGCTACTTGTAGCGTCGACCTCTACTAGGTTGACGAAGAAACCAAAAATTCTCAATCCTCAGGTATCACCTGTTCTTTGGTGGCTTGTTTGATTTTGTCTCTCCTTGTCTACTCATTGTTTTTTCGTTTAGGACACTGAAAAACCACCGGCTACTGAAGGCGGTGCTTCTAACGGAAGTGCCCAATCCCAGGTCTTTCTTTCTGATCGGTCGAACTCTTCGCCTGCCACTCTATTGGTTAAAAAGAAAAAAGCTCCTATAAAGAGGACTCCTTCGAGAACGGTCACCTCGATAGTGAGACCCGTTGTTCCTGGAAACTTGACTGAAGTTTTCCCCCACTGTAGCCACCAAACTCCCTTCAGCACAAGATACTACTGAGGTATTTTATTGTCCCTATATATATGCATATATATTTTCCTTTTCTACATGGGTGTTTTATTCATGTTGTGCTATGCAAGACAACACGATCGACACGACTGTTAATGTGAATGCTGATCAACCACGACGACTGCTGGCAATCCTACTAACTCAACGCCTCTATTTAGCCCTCAAAAGGCAATCTCATCCAACAATATAATTAACTACACCAGTCACACATACATGCAGATCGATGTAAAGTATAAGAAATTAAGGGATGACTGGATCACGAAGAAAAAAACCCATAAGTAAAAGAAGAAGTATGTATCAACCAAATTTGGGAAATCTGTTAAAACATAGAAAGAGATGTAAAAAGAAATAAAGAAAATAATCTCAAAGGAGTGATGATGCTTATGGCATAGAATAATCTCACACATGTGTTTAAATTTTTTGTTATTTCATACGTTTCGCAATTTCAATTTTTATACTTTCAAATTCTGCAAATTTCCCTTCTGTAATTTGAATTATTAGCAACAACATGAGTGATGTTTTTCGTTCTCTATATGTATTAATGTCCATGTTTGCATATTTATTCTTCACAATGCATCCTTAACCGTCTTTTTTATTTTGAAAAAGGGGGAGAAGTATACTCTCAGGGGGAGTAGAGTACATTTTTTTATTTAACTTTAGGGGAGTTTAATTACTCCATATGTGTGTGTGTGTGTGTGTGTGTGTGTGTATGCGTGAACATGCGTGCATGCGTGCGCGTGTGCACCTGTGCATGCATACATGCGCACGCGCTTGTGTGTGCGTGTTATTTTCTTTTTCCATCTCCCTTAGAGATGTGTTGTCATAATTAAAATGGGAGAGAATGTGGAACCTTGTTTTGCAGGTGATATGCTTTTAACAAGGACTCCAGCTTTTGATGATGACAACTAATGATGACAATTAAAGTCAAGCATAAGTCGTTAAGTAGATAAAGATGCAAACTTAAGTATTAAAGTTTAATGGACTTGAATATTTTATGATGGCAACCAAATGGAATATAAGCTAAAGCCTCATCTCAAGTGAACTCAAGCCTCATTTCAAGTAGATAAAGATGCAAACTTAAGTATTAAGGTTCGATAGACTTGAATATTTGATGATGGCAACCAAATGGAATATAAGCTCAAGCCCCATCTTAAGTGAACTCAAGCAAGTGTCTACAAAAGAAAGGATCTGACAAAATTCTGAAGTACAAGAAAGCCCTACCCTAATTAGTTTGAGTGAATACTTTAGAAAGCAAAAAAGAATTCTCGTAAAAGTTCATGGTTAAATCACACAACACACACGCACACACAAACATATTTTCAAATTGTTTCTTCTTAAGAAAATATCTTCAAAAATGTCTTAAAAATTGTGCCAAATGAATTGGGAGCTTTCAGAATTATTGTGCTCGATTTGGACATTAATATAATTAATTAGCTTAACTCAAAATTGATTCCTAAACAATTAGGATACAATCATAATGATGTGCAATGACTAAATATCGATTATTTCCTATTTTGAACTTATAATCCATTGTATTTGAAGTATCTAATCAATTGGCATTAGGTGCTAATTGATTAGATTGTCTTAAAAAGTATTAAAATAAATTTCCTTTTTGATCCAACCTCTAGCCTATAAATAGAGGTCCCTTACCTCATTTCAAACCATCCATAATTGTGTTTTAACACTTCTCTCTCTCTCTAAACTTTTTCTTTTACTTTCTCTCACTAATATTTTAGCCGAAGTGCTTATGCAAGAAAGTTCTTTTGTGAGTGAGAATAAGTTGTAACTCTAGAAGGGTAGAATTGTAAAATTTACCAAAGGAATTTTTTGTTTATACCTTGGTTGAATATTATCCATTTAAGGATTTTTTTGGTTAGAAACTAAACCCATAAAAGCTTTTAGTTTTGGAATTGTGTGATCAAGCCATTTTTTAGGTTTGAGATCAGCCCGTGATAAAATCTCATAGATTCTTGGTTAGCCTATGGTAAAACTAAGGCTAGGTTAAAGCTTAGCCCAATTTTACAAGCTTGGATAAGGTTTCAGATTATCCTGGTATTAGAACATCCTGGTTTATTGGTTAGCCTGTGTAAAACCAAGGTTTAAGGTTTGTGAGCATAACCCGTGATAAAAGCTTGCAATGTTTGTTTAGAGGCTTAAAGACTAACAACTCCAAGATTCTTGTGGAAGAAGAATAACCACTTCGATCTATTGTGTGTAAATAAGACTAACCACTTCGATTTCTTGTTTGGAAGAGAAGACTAAAATCACTGAATTCGCAATCTTATTGTTTGGCTGGAAGTCAACCATTTTTCCTTGTATAAGGGGGTTTGTTAGTATTACCTACTAAAAGCTCTCAAATTTTATTGGATAACCCCACTATCAATTCTTGGGAACATGACCAAGTCGTTTCTTGATTGAAAATGTATAAATCTGGTGTCCCTTTATTTCCCATAACTCTTTATTTTCTGTTGTCTGATACTTAAACTATTTTGAAAATAATTTTGAACTCTAACTTTAATCCACAAAGTTTTTTAAAACCATGTTTTTTTGGACTACACAATTCACTCACCCCTCCATCTTGTATGGGGAGTCATATGTCCAACACCCCTAAATCATGGATAATATGGATGTGTAGGTATAAGTATGGGTTGGGTGAGTCATCTAGGGTGGCCATGTTAAACCTCCCTTCCTCATAACACTCCTACAAAATAAGATCTTCTTCATGATCAGAATTGGAAAACCAATTTCTCGTTGAAAGGCAGCAAGCATCTCTTCACCAGTATACAAGGTCACAAAATTTTTAGTGTTTGAGTATTTGATGTCTGTACCTGCCATCAATTGTTAGGAGTTTGCTATTAAAAAAGGAAGAAAGAGAGTCATTATCGAAACTACTAGTGCTCTCATAAGATCCAAATACGCCTAAATCTAAAAGCTTAATTATAATTAATGGAACCTCTCGTCCGTTCGACATTCCTCACAATACATTTCCGATCATTCTCTAAGGATCGATGGATCTATAACCCTACCACTTTTGTCTAAATTCCTAACACTCATCATTAAAAGGGAAAAGGAAAAAAATAGTAACAAACACATACCAGCAAATAGGGATTAATAGATTGAGATTGAAAAAAATTGGAAAGTAAGTAAGGTTTGTGCTTGAGGGACTCTGAGGGAGTTTTATGAAATTTTGAGAGAAAAAGATATGCAAAAAAGGTAAGTAGTTAGGGTTGAACCCCTTTTATAAGGATTTGAAGGCTAGTGTTAGGGGTAATCAACGACCCTTCACTAGGTACCCCAACAACTTCAATAGTTTCCCTATGTCTTTGACACATGTAAGAGATTAAGGTTAATTTAGCTTCCTTAGACAAATTCATCATTAACCATATTTAATGCTCCATGTGCGCTCACCTCAATTAATGTTTGAAGGTTCACCTCAACTGACACCTGGAGATTTATCCCAAGTTATCCCTTGAGGGACTCCCCACAAACCATGCTTAAGGGAATCACCCCAAATCATGCATGAAGGACTCTTCCAAATGTGAAGGTAGAAGGCGATCAAACTAAATCATGTTGTCGTTTGCAAGCCCTCATGCTTGTGAAGACTGTGCATTTGGATAACTGTAAAGGATTCACAAAAAGTAATACAAATTTTACTTAGGGTAGGAGAATACCATACTTTGCCCAACGTAGGGATTCTAGCCGTCCATTTATCACAACACGCGCCAATTGCGCATAACACATGCTCTCTGTTGGACTTGGAAAAAACCATTTATTGTCCACTCATGAAACGTGAGGATAGACGTGTACTTAGACTGAACTATATGAAATCTCAAATAAAAGGGAAAATCAAGTTCTCCCAAAGAATAGGGAGAATAACGGTTTCACACTCATAAAAGAAGGCAAAATAACCACCTCACGGATCCAAGAATTCAGACCCAATAAACCTCTATAAATACCTTAACGACGAAGTTGAAGGGGACAATCATTTCACTAAAAAACATCATAGTTAGATACAAAGTTTTCCATAATCACTGTGTGAGCTTGCTCTAACACAAATGAAAACTCTAAAACCTTCAAACAACCCTACACGATTATGGATTGTCATTCATTATATTTTTAACAAATATACCTTTTTTTCTTCTTCTTATTACTTCTTATTATTGAAATTCCAATAATTTTAAAATATTCAAATACCAAATAATAATATGTATCCATAAATCTATCATCCGAAAACTCTAATAAATTTAATTTAAGTCCTAAATTGATACTCAATTTTATTCATTGGAATGATAAAATTTACTATAAGCACACATCATGTACTCCTAAAATAAACGATAAAATTTGAAAAGCAATGAGAATACAATTATTGACATAATAACAACGTTTAGAAAGAGCCACCCTTGCCAGAACATAAGCAACAACAACCCCAATTATCCTTGATTCATCATGGAGACAAAGACCAATGTTCCGAATTCCAACTTCCAATGATGTTTATTGAGTTTGATCCAAGTACTCCAAACGAATCATAGCAATATTTTCTCCATCAAATCAAGTGTTTTTCTTATATTACCATATAGTTGTGCTTATCAAATCCAAACAATATACAACCCTAGCTAATATTGATTCATTGTTATTCCTTCCATGTCCATGTCCAAGTCCATAGACAGAAAAACTTGGTCTTGCCATGAAAGTTCTGTTCCACTACTCTCACGATCATCATCGCTGTAACCTTGTTCAGCATACATGTTCTTTTCAACTTCATACACTTTACATAACACCCACTCGCTCCAATTTTCACCCTGTCATGCACCATTTAATTATCTAGAGATAGAATACTTTTATTTTATTTTATGGAATGCTTATAATAACAAAATAAATAAAGTGACTTACAAGTTTATCAAACACAGAGGAGTAAATGTGATATTCTTGCATTACCCAACTAGTTTCATTGAATACTAGGTACTTCTTCATTCCCACTTTTTGATCAGTACCTGAAAATATTGGTTCTGTCACACCAATTTCCTTCCAAAATCCATTTTGAGTGGATCTGTTTTCCTTGTTCAGTTTGGTGAAGAAATAGTATTGGACATCATCATTTCCACCACACATAGCCTTACCTGTGTAAAGATGTTTAGTTACATGGATAATATTAGAACCTTTTCAAATAATAATAATAATATACCATTTAATTCCCAAGGAAGAAGTAGAGAGAGATCAAGATGAGGGATGAAGTTTGAGTGGGATGGTATAAGATGAGAAGCCTTAGAATATAGAAAGTGAAGGATAAGTTCTTCATCTGTTGGAGAGAAAACAAACCCAGGAGGAAGCTTGACAATATCTCCCATTTGATGATATATTTTTACTATCAATATAATTTTGTTGTCACTATATATACATTAGAGAGAGAGAGATTTGGATGGAGTGTAATTATTATTCCAAAAAGAAAAAAAGAAAGAATGAATGGATAGATGAAAAGACTGCGTTACGTGGAATATCATTAATTTAAATGTGAGCAGGTCGGTAATGTCAGTAGGCCGTTAAAGATAATCCAACCAAAGGAATGAGTTAGGCATAACATATGTGACATGATTCCAACTGGAGATACTTCAATCATATGAGTTTGATTGAAAGGAAATAAAAAGTTGGAGTAATAATTCTTATCTTTAAATTTGAATTGACAATACAAATTATTGCTTCAACACAAAATCAAAATGTTAACAGGAAAAAATAACAATGTATGTATGCTCACTTACATTATAATTATATTTATACAGTAAATATTATTTATTTACTTTAGATAATAGTAGAGAAAAATATTTGTGACACGTATAATTTTTATTATTAACTATTTATAATAACTCATTGAGAAATATAATATTAACTATATATTTAACATATAGTTTATTAATATTAAAATGCAATGCATTAACTCGTCTTTAGGAGAAAAAGTTTTTTGTGAGATGTTGGATCGAACTCTAGTATGGTCGAAGGGTAGCTTCTGATTCGATAGAAATTAAGCATGAGGTCGAAGTATATTCGCATGCTGCTGTCAGAGTAATGTGTGTTGTAGTCGAAGTTTGTTCTAACATGCATTAGCCAATATTGCTAGGTTTGTTAGCTTGTTGAATTGGGTCTTGCTTGTAAACCCAATTGTTTAAGTTAGCTTGTACCCTAAGTTAGTTTGTAATGAGTAATTGTTAAAAAGTCCATTAGATTAGTGTGCTAATTTTTTTATAAATAGCATGCTAGTCTCTCATCTTGGTATAAGGAAAAATAGGAAGATAAAATCCTAATTTCAAGAGAGAGAGGTTATTTTGTTATTCTTATATACTTGTAATCTTGTTCTAAGAGAAAGGAAAGAATAGCAGTTAATAACCCATCCTTGTGTGTTAAGAATAACATTTATACTTTGTTTCAAGGCATTTGATTCACAACAAATTGGTGCGGTGAGCATGGAGAAGATTCCTTCAACAAAGTATGAGATTGAAAAGTTCATCGGAGTGAACGACTTCGGTCTGTGGCGCCTGAAGATGAAAGCCCTACTGGTTCAGCAGGATTGTTTGGAAGCGTTGAAGGAGAGGCAGTCATGGACATTGCGTTAACGACAAAAGAAAAGATGGGCATGATTGAGAAAGCCCACAACACAATATTTTTGAGCCTTGGTGATAAGGTTCTTCGACAGGTATCAAAGGAGACTACAATGTCAGGATTATGGGTGAAACTTAAAAGTTTGTACATGATCAAATCTCTGGTGAATCGACTCTACCTGAAGCAAGCTTTGTATTCATTCAAGATGAGTGAAGACAAAGTGTTAGCTGAGCAGTTGGATATGTTCAACAAGCTGCTTCTTGATCTTGAAGATATTGATGTGAAGATCGATGATGAAAATCAAACACCGTTGTTGTTGTGTGCTTTGCCCAGAACACGTGTTCACTTCAAAGAAACTCTCTTGTATGAAAGGGAGTCCCTGACCCTTGAAGAAGTTCAAAATGCCTTGTATTCTAAGGACTTGAACGAACGAAATGAGCATAAACCTACGACGGTGGGCGAAGGTTTGACCGTTAAGGGTAAGTTGACAAGAAGAAAGGTAAAAGTCAATAAAAATCATATAGTGGCAAAACATCTGGTATTCGATGTTATCACTGTAAGGAGGAGGGTCACACAAGAAAGGTGTGCCCTGAACGTCTGAAAGATCATGGAGGTAATGGCAACGCAACCATTGTTCAAGATGAATTTGACTCATCTGATGTTCTTGTGGTTTCAAGGGGCGACTCGAGAAAAGAGTGGATTATGGATTCAGGTTGCACTTGGCACATGACTCCAAACAGAGAATTGTTTGGGGAGCTATGTGATCAAGATGATGGATTTGTGCTGCTGGGAAACTTATCCGCGGTTGCTCGCGGATCAAAAACGAGTAATTTTAGGAAAATGCAGTACAACGACAGTGACTCGGAATATCGTCTCACAAGGATTCTTGCAGGAATAATCAAATACAGTAACGAAATATGGGGGATTCGATCTGTGAGATTCAAGCTCCATGATGAGTCAATAAGGTTATTAACTGAAGTCAGGTATATACCTGACTTGAAGAAAAGTTTGATTTCTCTTGGTGAATTCGACAGAAAGGTATATGTTTTTCAAGGAGAGAAAAATATCCTAAGAGTCATGAAGGGGTCGAAGGAAGTCTTGAGAGGCGTGAAGAAACAAGGCTTGTATACCCTTGAGGCTGAGGTTGTAAGTGGTTCGGCAAATGTTGCATCCATAAAATCTGTGTCAAAAGACAGAATTATGACACATGAGATTGGGCCATGTCAGCGAAATAGGTATGGTCGAATCGGGGAAGCAGAACCTGCTAGGAGGTAACAAAGTTGAAAAGTTGGAATTTTGTGAATCTTGTGTATTTGGTAAATCCTGTAGGGCAAAGTTTAACAAAGGCAAGCAAAGAACACATGGATCTTTGGATTACATTCATGTTGATCTTTGGGGGCCTGGAAGGAATCATTCACACTCAGGTGCAAGGTATTTTCTATCCATCGTTGATGACTATTCCAGAAAGCTATGAGTATTCATTCAGAAAACGAAGGATGAAACTTTTGAGAATCTCAAAAGTTGGAAGATTCTAGTCGAAACTCAAACTGGCAGAAAAGTTAAGAGGTTAAGAACTGACAATGGCCTTGAATTCTGCAACAAAGCGTTCAACAATTACTGTGTTGAGTCTGGGATTGCAAGGCATAATATTGTAGCAGGCACTCCTCAACAAAATGGCTTTGCTGAGAGATTCAATCGAACAATCCTTGAAAGGGTTAGATGCATGTTGGTTAGTGCTGGATTGAAGAAGGTGTTTTGGTCAGAGGCTGTTTTGACAGCAACTTACCTGATAAATAAATGTCCCACGACTGCCTTGGCAATGAAGACACCTGAAGAAGTTTGGTCGGGACATCCACCTAGTCTCGATAGACTGAGTGTAATTGGTTGTGTAGCCTATGCTCATATTAGGCAAGACAAGGTCGAACCTAGAGCTCTAAGATGCATGTTCATGGGATACCCTGAAGGAGTTAAAGCTTATAGGCTATGGTGCCTAGAGCCAGGTCACAAGAGGTGTGTCACTAGTTAAGATGTAGTTTTCAATGAAACAGAGATGACTTTCAAGAAAACTGATGATGTTGACGAAGAACTGGAACGGGGAGAGATTCTTATTAAGGTGGAGCATGTTGATGTTGAATTATGTACCCCAGATAAAGTCGAAGAAGATGCTGAAGATGTTGTCGAAGATGAGGAGACTGATAATAAATACCTTCTAGCAAGAGACAGGTTGAGGAGAGTCATCAAGCCACCTCAGAGACTTGGGTATGCAGATCTTATAGCTTATGCCTTAATATCTGCAAGTGAGGTTCTAGATAAAGACCTAGAGACTATAAGGAAGTTATGAGGAGTCAAAAGAAGACTGAATGGCTGAAGGTCATGGATGATGAGATGAAATCTCATCATGATAACAACACCTGGGAGCTGATCAAGAAACTTGCTGGAGCTAGGTTAGTCAGCTGTAAATGGATTTTCAAAGTTAAGGAAGGAATAGAAGGAGTGGGGTCGAAGAGATACAAGGCAAGATTGGTTGCTAGGGGGTTCACTTAGAAAGAAGGTGTCGACTTTAATGATGTGTTCTCTCTTGTTGTGAAGCACATATCTATTCGAATGTTGCTTGCCACTGTGGCACAATTCGACCTTGAATTAGAACATGTGGATGTGAAGACTGCCTTCTTATATGGTGATTTAGATGAAACAATCTTGATGAGGAAACCTGAAGGGTATATCAAAAAAAGGAAGGAAGATTATGTGTGCAAGCTGAATAGATCCTTATATGGACTGAAACAATCTCCTCGATAGTGGAATAGGAGATTCGACAAGTTCATGGCACGCATAAGTTTCATCAGAAGTCAGTTCGACCACTGTGTTTATTTCAGATTTCTACCGGGTAATTCATTTGTTATTTTGTTTCTCTATATGGATGATATTCTAATAGCAAGCAACAATGTCGAAGAGGTAATGAGGGTGAAGGCTGAACTTAATAAGGAGTTCGACATGAAGGATCTGGGAGTTGCGTCCAGGATTCTTGGGATTGACATCCGAAGAGATATAAAGTAGTAAAAATTATGCTTTTCTTAAGAGGCATACCTACGGAACATTCTCGAAAAGTTTGGTATGTCGAATTCAAAGCTTGTTGTGACTTCGACAAACCCTCAATTCAAGTTGAGTATAGATCAGTGTCCCAACACTGATGTTGAAAGAAATTATATGAATAACATTCCATATGCTAATATAATGGGTTCTTTGATATATGTTATGGTCTGTACTAGGCCTAACATAGCATATGCATTAAGTCTTATAAGCAGGTACATGGCGAATCCTGTAATGGCTCACTGGCAAGATTTGAAGTGGATTCTAAGGTACATAAATGGGTCTCTAAATAGAGTCATAATGTATGGTGGAGCCTTGGGTGAAGATAGTAAATCAGCAATCGAAGGATATGTCGACTCTGATTATGCAGGTTGAATGGATTCCAGAAAATCTATTTTTGGATATGTGTTCACTATGTTTGGGACAACAATCAGTTGGAAAGCTACACTTCAAAAGGTCGTTGCCTTATCAACCACTGAAGTGGAATATATCTCCCTAACTGAAGCTATAAAGGAAACATTGTGGCTTGAAGGTTTTGCAAAGGAGATAAAACTTCAAGGTCGAGTTATCACTATTAAATGTGATAGTCAAAGTGCAATACACATGTCGAAGAATTCAACCTATCATGAGAGAACCAAGAACATTGATGTGAGGCTACATTTTGTCAGAG